CAGAACCCCCAGAATTCCCGGAATTCACAGATTCCCACCTGGTTCCCTCCCCAGATTCCCAGAATCCCCAGAATCCCCCAGAACCCCCAGAATTCCCGGAATTCCCGGAATTCCCCAGAATTCCCAGATTCCCACCTGGTTCCCGGGTTTCACCAGATTCCCAGAATCCCCCAAATCCCCCAGAATTCCCAGAATTCCCAGAACCCCCAGAATCCCCAGAATCCCCGGAATTCCCGGATCCCCACCTGGTTCCCGGGTTTCACCAGAATCCCCCAGAATTCCCAGAATTCCCAAAATTCCCAGAACCCCCAGAATTCCCGGAATTCCCAGAATCCCCACCTGGTTCCCGGGTTTCACCAGATCCCCAGAATTCCCAAAATCCCCAGAATTCCCAGAATCCCCGGAATTCCCGGATCCCCACCTGGTTCCCGGGTTTCACCAGAATCCCCCGAATTCCCGGAATTCCCCAGATTCCCAGAATTCCCAGAACCCCCAAATTCCCAGAATTCCCAGAATCCCCCGGAATTCCCGGAATTCCCACCTGGTTCCCTCCCCAGATTCCCAGAACCCCCAGAATTCCCCGAATTCCCAGAACCCCCAGAATTCCCAGAATTCCCAGAATCTCCCAGAATTCCCCGGAATTCCCGGAATCCCCACCTGGTTCCCAGGTTTCACCAGATTCCCAGAATCCCCCAGAATTCCCAGAACCCCCAGAATTCCCAAAATCCCCGGAATTCCCAGAATTCCCCACCTGGTTCCCGGGTTTCACCGGATTCCCAGAATCCCCCAGAATCCCAGAATTCCCCCGAATTCCCGGAATTCCCAGAATTCCCAGAATTCCCAGAATCCCCCAGAATCCCCAGAATTCCCGGAATTCCCAAAATTCCCAGATCCCCACCTGGTTCCCGGGTTTCACCAGAATTCCCAGAACCCCCAGAATTCCCAGAATTCCCAGAATTCCCCACCTATTTCCCGGGTTTCACCAGAATTCCCAGAATTCCCCAGATTCCCAGAACCCCCAGAATTCCCCAGAATTCCCCAAATCCCCCAGAATTCCCAGAACCCCCAAAATTCCCAGAATTCCCCAGAATCCCCCAAATCCCCCAGAATTCCCAGAATTCCCAGAATCCCCGGAATCCCCCAGAATTCCCAGAATCCCCCAGAACCCCCAGAATTCCCGGAATTCCCAGAATCCCCGGAATCCCCCAGAATTCCCAGAATTCCCAGAATTCCCAGAATTCCCGGAATTCCCGGAATCCCCACCTGGTTCCCGGGTTTCACCAGATTCCCAGAACCCCCAGAATTCCCAGAATCCCCCAAATCCCCCGGAATTCCCAAAATCCCCGGAATTCCCAGAATTCCCACCTGGTTCCCGGGTTTCACCAGCCGCAGCGCCGCCTCGGCGCACAGGTGAGCCGCCTTGATGACGTCGGCCCGGCGGCCGGACACCGGATTTTCCTGGGAAAAAAAACCAAAAAAACCGGGAAAATCCGGGAATTCTGCGCCTTTGGGATCGGCTCCGATCCCCGGAATTCCGCCGGGAGGAGGAAAATTCCAAAGGAATTCCCAGAGGGTGCCGGTGCCGTTAAAAAAAGGCGGATTTGGGGGGATTCCGGTGGAATTCCAACCGGGAATTTTGGGGGATTTTTATCCCCCCCAATAAAAAACATTCCCGAGGTTTTTTTTTCCACCCCGTTTATTCCCAAAGGGTGGGAGAGGCTGAGGAATTCCCAGCAGGAATTCCCGAGGAATCGGGAGAGGCCGAATTCCAGAGGGAAAAGTGGGAAGTGGGGATTGGTTTTGGGGTGGGAATGGGATCCTGGGTTTATTCCAGGAAGAAAAGTGGGAAGCAGGGATTGATTTTGAGGAAAGGGAATGGGATCCTGGGGTTTTCCAACAGGAAAAATGGGAAGCAGGGATTGGTTTGGGGAATGGGAATGGGATCCTGGGATTTTCCAGGAAAAAAAATGGGAATTCTGAGGTTTTCCAAGAAAAAAAATGGGAAGCAGGGATTGGTTTTGGGGTGGGGAATGGGATCCTGGGTTTATTCCAGCAGGAAAAATGGGAATTCTGGGATTTTCCAGGAAGAAAAATGGGAAGCAGGGATTGATTTGGGAATGGGAATGGAATCCTGGGGTTTTCCAGGAAGAAAAATGGGAATCCTGGGTTTATTCCAGGAAGAAAAATGGGAAGCAGGGATTGGATTTGGGAATGGGAATGGGATCCTGGGGTTTTCTGGGAAGAAAAATGAGAATTCCGGGTTTATTTCAGCAGGAAAAATGGGAAGCAAGGATTGATTTGGGGAATGGGAATGGGATCCTGGGGTTTTCCAGCAGGAAAAAACCGGTCCCACCGTGGATCCAGAGGATCAGAACCGGTCCCAGTCCGGATCCAGAGGATCAGAACCGGTCCCAGTGCGGATCCAGAGGATCAGAACCGATCCCAGTGCGGATCCACAGGATCAGAACCGGTCCCAGTGTGGATCCAGAGGATCAGAACCGGTCCCAGTGCGGATCCACAGGATCAGAACCGGTCCCAGTGTGGATCCAGAGGATCAGAACCGATTCCCAGTGCGGATCCAGAGGATCAGAACCGATTCCCAGTGCGGATCCACAGGATCAGAACCGATTCCCAGTGCGGATCCAGAGGATCAGAACCGATCCCAGTGCGGATCCACAGGATCAGAACCGGTCCCAGTGCGGATCCAGAGGATCAGAACCGGTCCCAGTGCGGATCCAGAGGATCAGAACCGGTCCCAGTGTGGATCCACAGGATCAGAACCGGTCCCAGTGTGGATCCAGAGGATCAGAACCGGTCCCAGTGCGGATCCAGAGGCTCTGGATTGGTTCCATGTGGGATCCACAGGATCAGAACCGGTCCCAGTGCGGATCCACAGGATCAGAACCGATTCCCAGTGTGGATCCACAGGATCAGAACCGATTCCCAGTGCGGATCCAGAGGCTCCAGGGCTGCCCCCACCCCGGTCCCGCGCAGCCCCCGATGCCAAACCCACCTTGGAGGCGCCGAGCACGAAGCTGTGCGCCACGTTGGCGATGAAGCCGTCCACGTGCACGCCCAGGTCGCTGCAACACAGAGGGAAAAACGGGAATCCCGGGAATTCCAGCGGGAAAAACGGGAAGCAGGGGGTGGTTTTGGGGTGGGGAATGGGATCCTGGGGTTTTCCAGCAGGAAAAATGGGAAGCAGGGATTGGTTTTGGGGTGGGGAATGTTCATCCCAAGGTTTTCCAGGGAGAAAAATGGGAATCCTGGGTTTATTCCAACAGGAAAAGTGGGAAGCAGGGATTGGTTTTGGGAAATGGGAATGGGATCCTGGGGTTTTCCAGCAGGAAAAATGGGAATCCTGGGTTTATTCCAGGAAGAAAAATGGGAAGCAGGGATTGATTTGCAGGATGGCAATGGAATCCTGGGGTTTTCCGGGAAGAAAAATGGGAATCCTGGGTTTATTCCAACAGGAAAAATGGGAAGCAGGGATTGATTTGGGAAATGGGAACGGAATCCCGGGGTTTTCCAGCAGGAAAAGTGGGAAGCAGGGATTGGTTTTGGGAAATGGGAATGGGATCCTGGGGTTTTCCAGCAGGAAAAATGGGAATCCTGGGTTTATTCCAGGAAGAAAAGTGGGAAGCAGGGATTGGTTTTGGGGTGGGGAATGGAATCCCGAGGTTTTCAAGGAGAAAAATGGGAATCCTGGGTTTATTCCAGGAAGAAAAATGGGAAGCAAAGGTTGATTTTGGGAATGGGAATGGAATCCCGGGTTTTCCAGCAGGAAAATTGGGAAGCAAGGATTGGTTTTGGGAATGGGAATGGGATCCTGGGGTTTTCCAGCAGGAAAAGTGGGAAGCAGGGATTGGTTTGGGAAATGGGATCCTGGGATTTTCCAGCAGGAAAATTGGGAAGCAGGGATTGGTTTTGGGGTGGGGAATGTTCATCCCGAGGTTTTCCAGGAAGAAAAATGGGAATCCTTGGATTTTCCAGCAGGAAAAATGGGAAGCAGGGATTGATTTTGGGGAATGGGAATGGGATCCCGGGGTTTTCTGGGAAGAAAAATTGGAATCATGGGTTTATTCCAGGAAGAAAAATGGGAAGCAGGGATTGGTTTTGGGGATGGGAATGGAATCCTGGGGTTTTCCAGGAAAAAAAATGGGAATCCTGGGTTTATTCCAGGAAGAAAAGTGGGAAGCAGGGATTGTTTTGGGGAATGGGAATGGGATCCTGGGGTTTTCCAGCAGGAAAAGTGGGAAGCAGGGATTGGTTTTGGGGAATGGGAATGGAATCCTGGGGTTTTCCAGGGAGAAAAATGGGAATCCTGGGTTTATTCCAACAGGAAAAATGGGAAGCAGGGATTGGTTTTGGGGTGGGGAATGTTCATCCCGAGGTTTTCCAGGGAGAACAATTGGAAGCAGAGAGTGGTTTTGGGAAATGGGAATGGAATCCTGGGTTTATTCCAGGAAGAAAAATGGGAAGCAGGGATTGTTTTGGGGAATGGGAATGGGATCCTGGGGTTTTCCAGGAAGAAAAGTGGGAAGCAGGGATTGGTTTTGGGGTGGGGAATGGAATCCTGGGGTTTTCCAGGAAGAAAAATGGGAAGCAAGAATTGGTTTGGGGAATGGGAATGGAATCCTGGGGTTTTCCAACAGGAATAAATGGGAAGCAGGGATTGATTTGGGAATGGGAATGGGATCCTGGGGTTTTCCAGCAGGAAAAGTGGGAAGCAAGGATTGATTTGCAGGATAGAGGAAATGGGAATCCTGGGTTTATTCCAGCAGGAAAAATGGGAAGCAGGGATTGATTTTGGGGAATGGGAATGGAATCCCGGGATTTTCCAGCAGGAAAAGTGGGAAGCAGGGAACGCCTCGCCAAGGATCTGGGATGGTGACACCTGGATCCAGAGGCTCTGGATCCCAGGAACCCCTCCAGGCTCGTTAGCAGCCTTTAATTAACAATGAATTAATGCAAAACCAGGGGGGTGGGGATGAGTGGCCCGACAGGTCCTTTCATCCCAAAGGATTTTGGGATTTTTTTTTGGGAGGGATTTTTGGGAATTGCCATGGAATGTGAAGAGGGCACTCACATCTTGACCAGGTCGCCGTCCTTGAGGATGTAATCCTGGTCGCTCTTGAGCGGGGAGAAGTGACACACGCAATTATTCACGGAGATACTCGTGGGGAAAGCGATCCCTGGGGGGCCAAAAAAATCCTGGATTTGTGGGATTTGGGATTTGAGGAGGTTAAAACGTCGTTTTGGGACGCCTCCCGTTATCCCAGGCTGCTCCAGCTTGGTTTGGGATGGGAATTCTTCCCAAAAAAAATCCTGAATAAATCTGCTCCAACACCCTCGGGATGGGAATTTGGGGATGAATCCCAGCATTTCAGAGCCTTCCTCCCGCACCATCCCAAGGGGTGGGAAGGATTGGGTTTAAAAATCAAGGAAAATCAAGGAATTCCTCGTCCAGGAATGAGGATTCCTCCCCCTCACCTTTCTTCATTTCCTTTTCCTTCTTGAAGATTTTGCCGGTCTCTTCCATGATCATGGCGTCGCCCTTCTCGCACAGGCACAGCACGGACGCGCCGGGACTCGCCGCCTCCAGCACGGAGCGCAGGACGCCTGCAAATCCCAGAAAATAACCTGGAATGCCTCAAAAAATAACCTGGAATGCCTCAAAAAATAACCTGGAATGCCTCAAAAAAACCCCACAAAATAACCTGGAATTCCTCAAAAAAATAACCTGAAATTCAGCCCAAAAAAACCCTGGAATTCCCAAAAAAACCCCCCAAAAAAACCTGCAATTCCTCAAAAAATAACCTGGAATTCAGCCCAAAAAATAACCTGGAATTCCTCAAAAAAACCCTCCAAAATAACCTGGAATTCCTCAAAAAATAACCTGGAATTCCTCAAAAAATAACCTGGAATTCCCAAAAAAAACCCACCCAAAATAACCTGGAATTCCCAGAAAAATAACCTGGAATTCCTCAAAAAAACCCCACAAAATAACCTGGAATTCCTCAAAAAAAAACCCTCCCAAAATAACCTGGAATTCCTCAAAAAAACCCCACAAAATAACCTGGAATTACTCAAAAAAATAACCTGGAATTCCTAAAAAAAATAACCTGGGATTCCTCAAAAAAACCCCACAAAATAACCTGGAATGCCTCAAAAAATAACCTGGAATGCCTCAAAAAATAACCTGGAATTCCTCAAAAAATAACCTGGAATTCCCCCCAAAAAATAACCTGGAATTACTCAAAAAAACCCCACAAAATAACCTGGAATTCCTAAAAAAAACACCACAAAATAACCTGGAATTACTCAAAGAAACCCACCCAAAATAACCTGGAATGCCTCAAAAAAACCCACAAAATAACCTGGAATGCCTCAAAAAAACCCCACAAAATAACCTGCAATTCCCAAAAAAATAACCTGGAATTCCTCAAAAAACCCCACAAAATAACCTGGAATGCCTCAAAAAATAACCTGGAATGCCTCAAAAAATAACCTGGAATTCCTCAAAAAAATAACCTGGAATGCCTCAAAAAAATAACCTGGAATACCCCCCAAAATAACCTGGAATTACTCAAAAAAACCCCACAAAATAACCTGGAATTACTCAAAAAAACCCTCCAAAATAACCTGGAATTCCTCAAAAAAAATAACCTGGAATTACTCAAAAAAAACCCACAAAATAACCTGCAATTCCCAAAAAATAACCTGGAATGCCTCAAAAAATAACCTGGAATGCCTCAAAAAATAACCTGGAATTCCTCAAAAAAATAACCTGGAATGCCTCAAAAAAACCCCACAAAATAACCTGGAATTCCTCAAAAAAAAAACCTCCCAAAATAACCTGGAATTCCTCAAAAAAACCCCACAAAATAACCTGGAATGCCTCAAAAAATAACCTGGAATGCCTCAAAAAAACCCCACAAAATAACCTGGAATTACTCAAAAAAACCCCACAAAATAACCTGGAATTACTCAAAAAAACCCTCCAAAATAACCTGGAATTCCTCAAAAAAAATAACCTGGAATTACTCAAAAAAAACCCACAAAATAACCTGCAATTCCCAAAAAATAACCTGGAATGCCTCAAAAAATAACCTGGAATGCCTCAAAAAATAACCTGGAATGCCTCAAAAAATAACCTGGAATTCCTCAAAAAAATAACCTGGAATGCCTCAAAAAATAACCTGGAATTCCTCAAAAAGCCCCACAAAATAACCTGGAATGCCTCAAAAAAACCCCACAAAATAACCTGGAATTACTCAAAAAAAACCCCACAAAATAACCTGCAATTCCCAAAAAATAACCTGCAATTCCCAGAAAAATAACCTGGAATTCCTCAAAAAAAACCCACAAAATAACCTTGAATTCCTCAAAAAATAACCTGCAATTCCCAAAAAAATAACCTGGAATTCCTCAAAAAATAACCTGGGATTCCCCAAAAAAACCCACCCAAAATAACCTGCAATTCCCAAAAAATAACCTGCAATTCCCCCCAAAAAATAACCTGGAATTCCCAAAAAAAACCCCAAAAATAACCTGGAATTCCCCACAAAATAACCTGGAATGCCTCAAAAAAATAACCTGGAATGCCTCAAAAAATAACCTGGAATTCCTCAAAAAATAACCTGGAATGCCTCAAAAAATAACCTGGAATTCCTCAAAAAATAACCTGGAATTCCTCAAAAAATAACCTGGAATTCCTCAAAAAAATAACCTGGAATGCCTCAAAAAATAACCTGCAATTCCTCAAAAAAACCCCCACAAAATAACCTGGAATTACTCAAAAAACCCTCCAAAATAACCTGGAATTACTCAAAAAAATAACCTGGAATGCCTCAAAAAAACCCTGGAATTCCTCAAAAAACCCCCAAAAATAACCTGGAATTCCTAAAAAAACCCCACAAAATAACCTGGAATTACTCAAAAAATAACCTGGAATGCCTCAAAAAAACCCTCCAAAATAACCTGGAATGCCTCAAAAAAACCCTCCAAAATAACCTGGAATTACTCAAAAAAACCCCACAAAATAACCTGGAATTACTCAAAAAAACCCACCCAAAATAACCTGGAATGCCTCAAAAAAACCCCACAAAATAACCTGGAATTCCCAAAAAAATAACCTGGAATGCCTCAAAAAAACCCCACAAAATAACCTGGAATGCCTCAAAAAAACCCCACAAAATAACCTGGAATTACTCAAAAAAACCCCACAAAATAACCTGCAATTCCCAAAAAATAACCTGGAATGCCTCAAAAAATAACCTGGAATTCCTCAAAAAATAACCTGGAATGCCTCAAAAAATAACCTGGAATTCCTCAAAAAAACCCACCCAAAATAACCTGCAATTCCCAAAAAAATAACCTGGAACTCCTAGAAAATAACCTGGAATTCCTCAAAAAACCCACCCAAAATAACCTGGAATTCCCAGAAAATAACCTGCAATTCCTAGAAAATAACCTGGAATGCCTCAAAAAAATAACCTGGAATGCCTCAAAAAATAACCTGGAATTCCCCCCAAAAAATAACCTGGAATTCCTCAAAAAACCCCACAAAATAACCTGCAATTCCCAAAAAAATAACCTGGAATTCCCAGAAAATAACCTGGAATTCCTCAAAAAATAACCTGGAATTCCTCAAAAAAACCCCAGAAAATAATCTGCAATTCCCAAAAAAAACCTGGAATTCCCAAAAAAACCCCCAAAATAACCTGGAATTCCCAAAAAAACCTGGAATTCCTCAAAAAAAACCCCAAAAACCCGGAATTCCCCAGGGGAAAGGCGGAAATCCCGCTTGGATCGGATTCTTTGGGAAGGTTTTTTTGGGAAGAGGGAAACCCTGTGCTCCAACGTTCCTCCAGGAGAAGTCAGAGCTTTGGGAAAGGTTTGGGAATGGGTTTGGGAGATCTCAGAGCTCTGGGAATGGGTTTGGGAATGGGTTTGGGAAATATCAGAGCTTTGGGAATGGGTTTGGGAATGGATTTGGGAGATCTCAGAGATTTGGGAATGGGTTTGGGAATGGATTTGGGAATGGATTTGGGAGATCTCAGAGCTCTGGGAATGGGTTTGGGAATGGGTTTGGGAAATATCAGAGCTCTGGGAATGGGTTTGGAACACATCAGAGCTCTGGGAATGGGTTTGGGAAATATCAGAGCTCTGGGAATGGGTTTGGGAATGATTTTGGGACACATCAGAGCTCCAGGAAAAGGTTTGGGAATGGGTTTGGGAAATATCAGAGCTCCGGGAATGGATTTGGGAATGATTTTGGGAGATCTCAGAGCTCTGGGAATGGGTTTGGGAATGGGTTTGGGAAATCTCAGAGCTCTGGGAATGGGTTTGGGAATGACTGGGACACATCAGAGCTCTGGGAATGGGTTTGGGAATGGGTTTTTTTGGGAGATCTCAGAGCTTTGGGAATGGGTTTGGGAATGGATTTGGGAGATCTCAGAGCTCCGGGAATCGGCTTGGGAATGGATTTGGGAGATCTCAGAGTTTAGGGAATGGATTTGGGAATGGATTTGGGAAATATCAGAGCTCTGGGAATGGTTTGGGAATGGATTTGGGAGATCTCAGAGCTTTGGGAATGGGTTTGGGAATGGATTTGGGAATGATTTGGGGACACATCAGAGCTCTGGGAAAGGTTTGGGAATGGATTTGGGAAATATCAGAGCTTTGGGAAAGGTTTGGGAATGGGTTTGGGTGATCTCAGAGTTTAGGGAATGGGTTTGGGAATGGATTTGGGAAATATCAGAGCTCTGGGAATGGGTTTGGGAATGGATTTGGGAATGATTTTGGGAAATATCAGAGCTCTGGGAATGGGTTTGGGAATGATTTTGGGAGATCTCAGAGATTTGGGAATGGATTTGGGAATGGGTTTGGGAAATATCAGAGCTCTGGGAATGGATTTGGGAATGGATTTGGGAAATATCAGAGCTCTGGGAATGGGTTTGGGAATGGGTTTGGGACACATCAGAGCTCCAGGAAAAGGTTTGGGAATGATTTTGGGAGATCTCAGAGCTCTGGGAATGGGTTTGGGACACATCAGAGCTCTGGGAAAGGTTTGGGAATGGATTTGGGAAATATCAGAGCTCTGGGAATGGGTTTGGGAATGATTTTGGGAGATCTCAGAGCTTTGGGAATGATTTTGGGACACATCAGAGTTTAGGGA